ACTTGCCTGATGAACCCTCTGAGCAGTTGAATGCCATTTTTCATTTCCTAAAAGATGTTCACGCCCGATCTGTGGAATCAGCAAAGAGTCAAGAGGAGTTAGTGGCTGACATAAAAATCATCAAGAGCAGTCAAAAGAGCATAGAGAACAAAATTGGAAATCTTCAGAGTAGATTGGAAGCCGTTGAAGGTAAAATGCAAACTCTTGACGATCACAACGCTGACGTGGCAACTATTAATTCTACAGTCGGCATGCTAACAGCAGAGCTTGAATCCTTGCAATCACGCCTTGACGAACAAGATGACCGGTCGCGCCGCAATAACCTCCTGTTTCATGGCGTACCCGACTGCAAAGAAACTTGGGACGAATCTGAGGCCCGCATCAGAGAAGTTTTGACAGGCGTAATTGATCCGCTATCCGCAAACGACATTGAGCGGGCTCACCGTTTGGGAGCATTTCGCCCAGGTAGACATCGCCCCATCATCGTAAAATTTGCCAATTTTAAAACAAAAGACAAAATACTCTGCACACACAAAAAACTTAAACAAAAGGACATTTCTGTGAACGAAGATTTTTCGCCGGCGACACGCCATGCTCAAAATCAACTTGCGACCTTCACGAAAAGTCAGTCAAACGAAGCACCCTTCCAACTACGACACAACAAGCTGATTATGAACAAAAAACAATACTTCTTCGACCCCTCAACTAATCGCGTAACAGAGCACCTACAACACCTGCCCCATAACCCCCAAAACCACGCCGTGCCGAGCAATGAAAGCTAGGAAAAACTGAGGGGCAGTGGAAGGAAACTAAATCGCGTATCATTTCTTTACACCAACATTCGTAGCATTCTTAAAAAACGCGATAATCTTCATTTTGCTGTTACTACAACTAATGCTGATATCATAGCACTAACAGAGACCTGGCTGCATCCAGATATTCTTGACCACGAATTACTCGACTGTGCTCATTCTTTTTCTTTTTACCGATGCGACTGAACAGCCCACCAAGGGGGCTGCGTATTGCTGGCTATTACGAAAACCCTACCATCACAGTGTGTTCATGTTCCTACAGATCTGGAGATAGTATGGGCCATTATCCAATTCTCCCATCGAAAAGTTGTTGTTGGCGTATGCTATCGTCCTCCTGCATCATTACCGTCCTTTATCAATGAACTGCACGACGCTATCAACATTGTTAAGTCTCGCCACCCATCGGTTCCTTTGCTTCTAATAGGCGATTTTAATATTCCAAACATTTCGTGGACAACTGAACCACCTACCATCAGCCCCTTTTCTACATTCGCAAATGATTTCTTAAATTTGCGCTCTGTTTTTTCCTTGTCACAATTAGTAAAGCAACCTACCAGAACTACTGCGTCGGTAGCTAACACACTAGACCTTGTGCTTTCGTCCCACTCCGATTTTGTTTCGAACATTACCCATCTGCCAGGTTTAAGCGATCATACTCTGCTATCATTCAACATCAACGCATCTTGTCCCAAGCGTGTAAAAACGGTTAAAACAATTCATGACTACGGTAAAGCCGATTTTGTCTCCATTAATAATTAACTTTGCACATTTCTTGATAGTTTCCTCTCCACGTTTGATAGTCGTAGTGTTCAAACTAACTGGGACGTTTTTGTAGATAAGGTGAAACAACTAACAAATAAACACATTCCTGTTCGCACTATCACATCCAACCAAAATGCACCATGGTTCGATATACAGATTAAGCGTCTCCTAAACGAAAAGCATCGCATTTACAAGGCCGCGAAAAAATCCTCCTGCATCATTCGATGGGACGATTAAAAAAAGCCTCCCAAGAGTACACCACTGCACCAAAAAATGCGAAATATTGCTATTTTAACACCACGCTTCCGAATATGTTACTAACTGATCCTAAGAAATTTTGGCGCGTTATTAACCCCAAAGATAGCGAAATGTTAACCTTGATTGACAGTGCTGGAAACACCATTCCCACCCATTTGTGTGCAGAAGCCCTTAATAATGCCTTTTCCAGAAATTTCTCAGCAACTACAGACGCCCCTGTTCTGACCACCCCCCCATTGTGACTACCGACCCATGCCTCCTATTATTATTGACTACGTTGGTGTTGAAAGTGTAATCAAGTCCTTAAAGCCTTCCTCGTCTCCTGGGTGTGATACGATCAGTCCTAAATTTTTGAAAAACACCAGCTCTTATTATTCAATCATACTAACGAAGATATTCGAACAATCGCTTCATGAAGGCTGTCTCCCCGTCGACTTTAAGATTGGAAAGATAACTGCACTGTTTAAAACTGGTAACAAACATTCACCGTCTAACTACCGGCCTATTTCGCTAACCAGCATACCTTGTAAAATACTAGAACACATATTATGTTCCAAACTAGCAGGTTTTCTCGAATCTAACTCGTTTTTTTCCAAGTGTCAACACGGTTTCAGAAAAAACTATTCATGCGAGACTCAACTTGCATCTTTCACCCATGGATTAAACATCATTCTTGATCATTCATCCATCGCTGGTTGCATTTTTTTAGACTTTTCCAAAGCCTTCGATAAAGTATGTCACAAGTTGTTACTTCACAAACTACAAAATCTTCATCTTGATCCGAAACTTTTATTTTGGTTTGAATGTTTCCTTTCTAACCGCGCTCAGTTTGTTTTAGCTAACGATAACGTCTCACCCCGAACGAACGTCTCTCTTCTGGAGTCCCTCAAGGATCTGTCCTGGCTCCCCTGCTCTTTCTTATTTACATTAACGACTTACCTTGATCTGTTACTTCTCACATTCACTTGTTCGCCGATGACTGTGTCCTCTTTCCTGAAATATCTAATGACAATGACCTATTAACCCTTCAATCCGATCTTAACGCTATTTCTGTGTGGAGTAAAACATGGGTAATGGAACTCAACATTAGCAAATGCAAGTTCCTTCGCGTATCTAGAATTAACCGTATATTGCCCACTTACTATCTGAACGATGCTCCACTGGAATCTGTCAGCACTTACAAATATCTCGGAATACATTACTACTGACCTCACTTGGTCCGTACATACCACGTACGTAATTAATAACGCTAATTGCATGCTCGGCTATGTACGTCGAAATTTCTTACAGGCTTCTTCAACAATAAAACTAACTCTCTACAAGACGCTTATCCGCTCCAAACTGGAGTATGCTGCATCAGTTTGGGATCCTAACCAAGAAAATCTAATACACTCACTTGAAATGATTCCAAATAATTCTGTTCGTTTTATACTCTCTAACTACAACCGGACTGCCAGCATAAGCACAGTGAAATCCAGCCTCGGATTACCTTCCTTATCATCTCGTAGGAAAATCCTTCGCCTTTGTCTTTTCCATAAGCTTTTCTATCACAGCCAGCTACGAAACGAACTCATTCTGCCTCCTCGGTACATTTCAGCTCGCATAAATCATGTCCATAAAGTCGGCTTGCCGTCCTGCAGAACTAACTCCTTTTCCCAGTCATTCATACCGCGTACATTACAGGAATGGAACCACCTACCCGCACTGACGGCAACAATCTCGGACCACCAACTTTTTAAAACTGCTTTAGTTAACATTGTATAACGTGCATTTGCTCTGTTTTATATTATGTTTGTAACTATTGTAACCCACTCCCCTCTCTAATGCCTCTGGCTCTGAGGGTATCTAAATAAATAAATAAATAAATAAATAAATAAATAAACAAATAAACTACAGTTTAACGAGGTTTCACTGCAATAAATGTCCACCTGTTAATTTCGAAAGGCGTGTACTGTGTACGTTTATACCGAGTGCGTCCTTCTAGACCCTACATTGATGCGAACACAGGGCTCTTGGAACATAGACTGTTACACCTGAATATGTGCTTACTTTTCAAGAGGTATATGATATCAAGAAACATATTTCACGCACCAATGTCTGCAATTATGCTAAGGGATGAGCGTGGCAATTTCGCAGGGAATAGTGTTTCGATGTGTTTATCGGTGAAGTTAATACGCAACTTCATTAAAACATCTATTGACTGGAAGTTAAAATTGTTTCTCCGAAAAACCAGAAAGAGAGAAAATTATACGGCATTTTTTCTGTAACTTCGTACTATCGAAAGAATTTAAAAAGTAAATTTCAGAAGCTATTATAAAAAATTGATCAAAATTCAATGCCACTGCAGCACTACTCCAATCTAAAAGTGTTGTAAAAAAGTTTTTCTCGAGATCACAAGACTTACCTAACTAAGATATGAGTGACTCAGCATTACACTGATTGTAATGGGTAAAGTGCAAAAAAAATTTTTTTTGCAGACAGAAAAGCCTGATGTCCCACTGTTGTGCAAAGCGTTAAACCCTGAAACATTTTTTCATGTAATCAGCTGACAACCTCACTATCAGAGTTTATTGCGCCAGAGATGCTGAAAATTCTATAATCTGTCACGTATGGACGAAGTTACAGGTATTTTTGCACAGACTAAATATTTTCTCTCTCCTTGCATCTCAGTGAGCGTGCCGAAAGCTACAAAAAAGGAAGGCAGGACGAGAATACTAATATGGGGGCAAAATCAACATACATACGCAAGCACACATAATGACCTTGAAAACTTTTTTCTATTGTTTTAATTGAAAGCGCGGCCATCGTGTAAGCATCGTGTGCTGCTCGCTAGCCTGTACCACGACGTGCTGCAGCACAGGCACGTTGTGGCACACTGCGGCGGCCGTGGTAAGTATACTAGCTTGCGATGTTCATATATCAACCAAAGGCCATGCCTCTGGGCGTAAAATGCAGGTGATTTAAGGAATATGGCATTCTCTGCCGTGGGAAGAGCGAGCAATATCTAGCTGACACTGAAATCTAATTCTGAATTCCCTGCTGTATACGACGCTATTCTGCTTGGCTCACACATTTGCAAGAGCCAAGACTACCGATTTGCAGCGTTTTCTGAGCATGCTTAAAAAGTGTTGCAGGGCCTCTTTAAACACCATATTGTGGAATTCTTACCACTAGTCCGAAACTCAAAGACGTGCCCCTCCGTTTCGTCGTCGCGAAGCCTCGAGTAGCTCGCCTTGAGCTTCGAGGAGGCAACCCAGGAGCCGTGCTGGCTGCGCACGCCATTCTCAAGAAGAGCCACGGACGGTGGCGGCTCCGTGAAGTTCTTGCTGAAGTGGCTCAGCCCGAACTGCGCGATCTGTACAGGATAGAAGTGGCCCTTGGGGTCCCACTGTGTTGAGATGGGAACACCTGTGGAAAACACAAGGGTCTAGCTTATAAGAAAATGCATCACTTGTTCTGCACTACGAGCATCCTCTGTGGCCACTGAGGGGAATGAAGATAACTTATTATGGATCCGTAAAACAGTAACGTCAGGGCTCTTATAGACAAAGGGTCACAGGAAGAAAACTGGGAAATAGATTACTGAAGTGAACAGACGAATATATTAAATTCGAAGCATTTCTTCGCGTACTGCAGGCACCTTGAGAGAGAGAGAATGTGTGTGTGTTTGTGTGCCTGTGCCTGTCTGCCTAGCCAACTACATCTGGGTGCTCTTTCGTGACCACTACCTTACCATAGAGTAAACTAAAATTAGTAGGGGAGAGTAAGATAGTTTGACGAATACAACTCACTGGTCATGACATTAAAAATGTCACAATCCCATCGCATAGATCGTCAAAAAATTGGGGGACCCTTAAGCTTCACCTTCAAGAGTTGAACACGACAGCGATATCCTGTCCCTAGTGCATACTTCAAAAACTTAGTGCAAGGAATCTCTTCGAAATTGGTATGCACAGACTACATGGCCTGAAGGGCATAGGCACAGTAACATGTGTGCCATTTATAGTGGGTGACCGGCTTTAAGCCAAGAGGTCATTATGATAATAACATGTTCTTATGCCCAATGGCAATGTATGCTTGTACCACGCATTATAACTGCAATGTTTCATGCTGTATTGTCAAGCACGTATACAGGACGCTTGTGTTTCTGAAACACAAAAGTTACTTTCACTGCACTTCTAAGCACAGGAAGTTATTTTCACTGTACTCAAAAGCAGACGCGGGGCTCTGTGGTAGAACAACCACTCGCCATGCAAACAACCCGGGTTCAATCCCCACTAGGACCCAGAATTTCTTTATTATTTATTTTATTTGCATCTTTCTAAATTTATCACTCACGCACAAGATGACTTTTCGCTCAGAATTAATGACACCGACGCTAAAATTTTTGTGAAACGAGTTCTACAACAATGTCGCGTTATTCTCTCCAAACAATGGCACATACCCCCAAGTGGGTGTATGCCACTGGTATGCGGGTATGTGCCGCAGGTAAATGACACTTTATATCTATTGGTCCTCCTAAGGCTGGGCATTAAGAAAAAGCTGGCATTGGCAGCACTGACCCAATGAATGCAAAGAATAAATGTTTGGGTCCCAGCAGGAATCGAACCTCAGCATTCTGCATTGCAATCAAGTATTTTACTACAGAGTCACAACAGGTCTTGAAACTACTTTTCAAGGTGACCCTAATTATGTTCATGAAACGTCAATTGTGATTGCAGTGCTGACTGTCCTATTTTATAAACATTACACATGTACTCCTACGATACAGCCATCCCGTGGGTTAACGTCAATTGTAGTTAGGCACCATCTACTAAAATTCATTCATGTAGCAGTGTCCAGGACTACCATGCTGGCTACCAGGGCGAGCACCAGATCTTTATATCAGCTTACCGCTTATGTTGTTGCTAACACCCATGTTGCTGTTGTCATCTTTATGCAAACGTAAACAACTAGTTATATAAAACATATGCGGCTGTTCAACATATGCCTGTGCATGCATTTGTACACATCTTTAGCGCCACTTCACAACGTTTTGCTCAATGAAGAAGACAGTCACCTCCTATGTGCATGCTTCGCATACCATCGATTTTCAAGGTAAGTGAGATCCGCCGAATTTTTTATTACATAACATGTCACAATGAGTATTATTATATAAACATAACCTTTCATGTCGCAGCAGGACTAACAAAAATTAGTAAAGTGGGGCACAGAAAAACGACACTGAAATAGGAAAATATTAATTATCACAGAAACATTGGTGCTATAAGTGAAGAGTTCCTCTAAATTAACTTTAAAAACAACCAGGACAGTCAGCACTAACAGCCCAAGCAGAGAAGCCGTGTGCATTTCCACAGATGCAGGAAAGACAATAAATCAGATGTATTGCACTATAATGTGGCTAGCCCTATGTGCTTATGACTTGTTCTAGTTCTAGATGTGTAAATATCATTGAAAGCCTGAGAGTTCAACCAGAAAAACTTTACGGTATACAGCCTATTGCTCTGTACAGGGAAGAAAATGGCAATGAAAAGGATGAGCCAATTAATTACTCAACTAATTATTTTTTTAGACTAGAAAAACTGGGTCTCTGGAAAAATTTGTAGGGGAAGAAATTCTCCGGACTAGCTTTGACTGGGATACCTCAACAAGCACCTACACACAGGTTCCTACTATAGTGCGTAAACATTTATGTTTACGCTCTACAGTAGTATTAACGTCAGTACAATGAACTGCTTATATGCTACATCACTTCCAGATTGAAACTGTAACGAGTAAAAGATATAGCAATGTGGTAGAAATTACCCTGAGATTAAATGCATGTTTGTGCCATGGAACCTCTACTCAGCAATGAGAATGACTGAAAGAACAGGCTTGCCTTCCATTCCACTGATGCATTTGACGCGATCACGGACAGCCACATTGTAGTTCTCAAACCAGAGGAAAGGCCCAGCCGTGTGGTACATCGCATTGGGTGCCATAACCTTGGAGTAGCTGTGCTGCCAGTCAAGCACCTCTTTGCCGTCCCGGTAGGCAATCTTGCCGTACACTTCGAAGTACTTGCGCAGAAAGCTGAAGGGCACAAACACTTCCGAACCTTCCTTCCGACAAGGCACGGCATAGTCCTCATTGATGACACATTTGATCTCATGCGCTAGGTGTGCCTTGCCCTTAGTTCCTACGCCAATGCCACCACTGCTGTCCGCCTGCGGAGAACAGAAAAAAGTCACAATTCCACCACTAGGGCGCAGCAATGAATGCGATAGCAAGAAATTAGAATATCAGACAAAAAACAACAAGCAGCTCAATACTTTCAGCACAGCGCTGCAGCACAAAGCAAGACGCTCAATGAAAAATGTGCAGAAAGCTCATCTTCGCCAATTTCCAACTATATCCGATACCACAAAGCAGTAATAATGAAGGCAGAACGAAATTCAACAATCAACAGAACATACCACTTACGACCAATAAACATTGTATATACACTCAAACCTCATTATAACAAAACCACACCTGCCATGAAAATTATAATAAAGCCACACCTGCCATGAAAATACTTTGTTATATCTGAAACCTCCTTATACACATATATTTGCAGCAGTGTATCCATGACATACCGTAGCTATTCCTCAATTACTTTGTTATAACCAATAATTTGCTATACCGGTGTAAGACAGTAGCAGCGTTGGGATTGCGGTGGCGTTTATTAGGCCGAATCACCTGATCAACGCTTCGAACAAAGACGTTTTTCGTGATGATAACTATACAGATGAAGAAGATGAAGGTCAAAAGCTGTGAATACTGTGCTTACACTAATTTCCCCTAACGCAAAAGCAACCAACGTGGCCGCTGTTTATGGCGGTGGTGTTCGTCGCACGAATAGTTTTAAGCGCAACATGTGAACAAACGCCGTACCACGAGAACGGCTGTTGGAAGGCATGACAACAGGGGTTACTCGGTAGTTAACAGGAGACGTCTGCTTCACTATAGCATAGGGGCCCATGAATCGTGAGTAAAACTTATCACACAGGCCGGGAACCAGCGTTGGGGTACACAACAGTACTTCGTCTCCAGTATTGAAGTAAACTACGTGGTGGATGCCATCGTAGCGAGTCTTCCGCTCTTGTTGGCTTGCCTCTGGATTAAAGCGGGTGCGTCGGCGACAATCGGCCAGGCGAGAGATTCAGTGCTCACTTGATGACGATGACGAGTTCACCGGGACGTCAAAAAAGGAGATGTCAAGCGGAGATGTCGGTTGACGGCCATAGACGAGAAATAATGGGGAATAGCCCATGGTGCACTGTGTAGCGGTATTGTTCGCAAAAGTCACAAATCGCAGGATGGTATCCCAGTTGGTGTGGTCGGCATTGATATACATTGATATCATATCGGTCAAAGTTCGATGGAAGCGCTCTGTGAGATGGTAGCTGGAAGTTTTCTTATGAATTGTATGACATGCGTCGAGAACGTGTTTGAGTAATTTCGAGAGAAACACCTTGCCGCCGTCGCTCAATAGGATGCGTGGCGCACCATATCACAGAAAGATTGCCTCCAGAAAAAATGTGGCAATGTCCTCTGCCGATACTGAAGGAAGTGCAGCTGTTTCGACGTACCTTGTCATGTGCTCAGCTGCTGTGAAAATCCAGCGCTTGCCACTAGCTGATATTGGTAGTGGTCCATAGAGGTCAATGCCGATGACTTTGAAGAGAGCGTCAGGACACGGGAGAGGTTGTACAAGACCGGCCAGAGAGGCAGTGGGTCGCTTCCGGCGTTGGCAGAACAAGCATGACGCAACGTATCGCGCTACACAGGTGGAAAGCCCAGGCTAGACAAAACGACTGCAGATGCGTTCATAGGTTTTTTGAAAACCGAGATGACCAGACTTGGGGTCATCGTGAAACGCCTCCAAAATCTGCGTCCTTAGGGAACGAGAAGCGACAGGAACCCAGCGCTGTCCTTTGGGGTGGAAGACAAAGCGGTAAAGGATTGAGTTTTCAGTCTTGAAGTTCCGCAGCTGCCGATGGGCGCGGGCGTCGGGAGGACGAGAGGAGCCTTGAAGGCGCTGCATTATAGAGCGACAGTAAGTGTCACTGCGTTGGTGGGATGCAAACCTCTCGTTGCCGAAGGCAGAAAGAAAGTTGACAGCGGCGAGTGAATGAACTGACGGAGATGCTTTGATGGGTTCACTCACAGTTGGCGACAGGCTAGGAGTGCCTGATGAGGATGGTAAAGGACAGCGGCTAAGGGCATCGGCATCATTGTGTTTCTTTGAACTTCGAACGTTGAATTCGTATTCTTGGAGACGAAGCAACCAACGATCGAGACGTCCAGACAAATTCTTCAACGTCGACAACCAGCACAAAGCGAGGTGGTCAATGACAACGGTAAAGTGGCGGCCGTGAAGATACGGTCGAAACTTCTGGAGGGCCCAGACAACAGCGAGACACTCCTGCTCGGTGATGGTGTAGTTTTTCTCTGCTGCTGTGAGGGTGCGACTAGCGTATGCGATCACATGTTCGCCATAACGCTCTGTTCGTTGCAAAAGTACAGCGCCGAGTCTGTGTCCGCTGGCATCAGAATGAAGAACAGTAGGTGCGGCGTAATCAAAATGACAAAGCAGTGGCTCAGACGTGAGGGCACATTTCAAGGTGTCAGAAGTCATTTGGCATTCGTCCAACCATACGTATAACGACGTTCCCGATAAAAGGAGTTGGTGAAGTGGCGCAGCAATGGTGGCAAAGTCTCGTATAAAGTGCCGAAAGTACGACGCAAGGCCAAGAAAGCTTCGGAGCTCTTTGACACATTGAGGCACCAGGAAGCGAAGAACGGAGGTAATCTTGTCGGGATCAGGCCGGATTCGATCTTTGCTGACGAGATGTCCGAGTACTTTAATACTTTTGCTTGCAAAGTGGCACTTTTTGGTGTTGAGCTGAAGACCAGCAGCTGCGAGACACGTCAGAACTTTATATAGGCGCTGCAAGTGCTGTTCGAATGTTGAGGAAGATATGACGATGTCATCACGGTAACATAGGCATGTTTTCCATTTAAGGCCCCGCAATACAGTGTCTATCATTTATTCAAACCTTGCTGGCGTATTGCAGAGACCGAAAGGCATGACGTTAAATTCATAAAGTCTGTTGGATGTGGCAAAAGTGGTTTTTTCCTTGTCATCCTCGTGCATTGGAATTCGCCAATAACCGGAGTGCAGGTCAAGACTCGAAAAATATTCCGCTCCTTGTAAAGAATCTAAGGCATCATCAATGCGAGGCAAGGGATATAGGTACATCTTTTCTGGTTACTTTGTTCAATGTGTGATAGTCAATGCAGAATCGCGTCGAGCCGTCCTTCTGTCACACGAGAACGACAGGCGACGACCAAGGGCTTGAGGAGGGGCGGATGATATTTTGCCTGAGCATATCAGAAACATGCTTGTCGATGATCTCGCATTCGCTGGAAGAGACACGGTATGGTCGACGACGGACAATAGAAGTTCTGTCGGTGTGTATGCGATGAGCCACCGCAGAAGTCTGATTTAGAGCAGTGGAATGTACGTCGAAAGAAGATTTATGCTTCGACAACAACGTCAGTAGTTCTTCTGCTTGCGGGGGAGTGAGATCCGTGCTGATGGCATTGACGAGAGCCGTAGTAGGTGGAGCATCTGTTGGTATTGAACGTGATTCCACCAGACTGGTATCCGAAGTCACTACAGAGATAGGTTGTGTGTTCACGCTGCAAACTACAACAGTGCTCTTGGTAAGCAGAATCGGCTCATTGGTGATATTCAGTACAGCGAGAAAGGCGGTGCCATTGGAGAAGCGGACAAGACTCAAGGAAAGTGCAATCCCTCTGCATAGACAACAGGCTGATGGAGTGACTAGGACCTCACTGTGGTCAATAGAGTCGGACATAACAGTGATAATGTGCTCGTGGTTAGGTGGCACAAGGAAGTCATTGGCTGTTCGTAGCCGTTTATGTGATGATTTCAGGGAGATATCATCCATCTCTTGCATATGTATGAGTCGTTGTCGACAAGAGATAGAAGCAGCAGCATCAAAAAAAAAGTCCCATCCTAAAATAAGCATAAGAGCACAAGAAGCCCACACGGCAAACTGAATATGGCGCCGGATGCCATTGTAGCGAGAGAGGATCTCGCTACACTATCAATGAAAACTCTAATGGTGCACTGTGCTGATGGCCGTATCTGCGAGTCCTTTGTGCTACGTAAGAGAGTGCCAGTATAAGGTGTGGCAACCTTATGCAGACGAGAACACAAATCCGCATGCATAACAGAAATAGCAGCCCCCGTGTCTACTAATGCTTGAACTGGTACCCCTTCAGCATACACTGATAACAAATTGGCTGGGCCCTCTGGAGGTCTTGGTGTTTGTTCGAGCAATGCAGCTTTCCCTCCAAAAACTGCACCGGCTAGTTTTCCTAGTGGTAGTCAGAAGTAGGTGGAACAGGTCGCAGAGGAGATGTTGAGCGTCGCAGAGGTGAAGGAGCCGGCGGCGTTCGGGATAGTAGGGGTGAGGTGCGGCGATAAGAGAAACAATGAGTCATAGGGCGGCACCACCACTGGTTCGGGGATGGCACCGAATTCCTTTCATAAACGTCGTAGCCACGGCGTTTGTCCTGCTGGAGTTTGCGGCGAAATGGTGAAATATGGCCCCGAATGCCACAATGGTAACATATTGGGCAAGGCAAGCGCCAGGAAGCGTAGAGTGCTGGAGCTGTGATAGGTGCTGGTACTAGTGCTGGGACAGGCGAGTGTCGTGCGAATGCTGCTACGTTGGACTACGCAGGAACAGGATGTGCATGCTGAACCAAGGCAGGTGGCATGGCAGCGACGCGCATGTATTATGGGCGGCGTTAGTGGCGTCAGAGTGTTGGATGAGAGTGCAAGCCGTGAATGAGAGCTCCTCTTTGATGATGTCGCGCAGACCAGCAGATGGAGAGTGAGGCCCAGGGGTGGGTGCACAAGACAACCCTTGCGCTTGAAGTTCCTCGCGAATCAGAGTGTGAATCAGCGTGCGCGAATCCGCATCCGAGGAAGGCCGGCTGTCAATGGCGTCTGGGTAGTCTAGGTGCAATAGAATAGCTTGGAGTTCATCAAGATGCTGACATGTGGTGATGACGTCCTCAACGGTGGTGTGGTTTTTAACAACCAGAGCGTTAAATGCGACATAGCCAATCCCTTTCATGATGTGGCGAACACGATCAGCTTCTGTCATCGCCGAGTTCACGCGGTGGCAAAGGGCAAAGACATCTTCAATGTACGAAGTGTACGTCTCCCCGAGATGTTGGGCACATCCATCGAGCTTTCATTTAGACACTTCAAAATGAATGTTTGGTTTCCCAAAAATCCTACGAACTTGTTGAGCAAAAGTAGGCCAATCTGGGAAGCTGCTTTCGTGATTAAAAAACCATGTTTTCGCAACATCGGACAGATAGAAGGCGACGTGAAGAGGTTTTTGAGGCCCATCCCATTGGTTATAAATACTGGTCATGTCGTATTCTTTCAGCCATACCTCGACGTCGTCGCGTGGAAGACCAGAGAAGATGAGTGGGTCGCTCTGCCGGGCATTGACAATCCACTCAGGAATGGTTTGTTGGACAGGGATGCCGGATGTTTTGGGCAGCAGTTCTTGAGCCATGACAGCGGACGGGGGAAGCAAGCGGCGACTTGAACGAAGCTCCAGGAGAACGTGACGTCGAAGAGGACTTGGGGATCGAAGCAGCCTCCACCACTCTGTAAGGCAGTAGCAGGTTTGGTGTACCGACAGCGTTTATTAGGCCGAATCACCTGATCAACGCTTCGAACGAAGCCGACGTTGTTCGTGATGATGATTATATACAGATGAAGAAGATTAAGGTCAAACACTGTGAATATTATACTTACACCGGGTTCGTTATGTTGAGGTTTGAGTGTAACAGCACACTGCTTTGTCATTCACTTACACGCATGAGTGGTCAATGCCATGGGTGATTTATAGAACCCCCAACAATCCGACTGCTTTGCCCACTCATCATCATTCACTTTGCGGATATGCCGTGATATTCTTCTTTTGATAGATGAAGAAAAACAGTTCCGAGTTCATATCAGTGAAAGTCATTGTTACACATGGCATGCTGATGCCTACGTAACGCCGTTTTTCAAAATAAGCCAGTGGCGAGTGCAGAGACGGTTCTGTCAAATTGTTCCTATCTTTTGAGTCTTGATTCCATGCACTGCTTCATACATTAGAATAACTGTCACTATGTCGCCCACCTTTCAACTTGACTATGAAAATATGTAACTTGCCGGCATGAGAAGTGGCTCTACTGGGCTGAGAGGACTGTGTGTGCTGCAACGGGCCAGGTAAGAGAACAGTGTCAGTGCAGCACCCGAAAGGGTCAGCACCAACAGCAGCTTCTTGGTTGGCCGCATCCTCACGCCACCTCCCAGCAGCATTGCTTGGCTTTACACCTGCACGGAATGAACAAATTTTAGCCTCTGATGACACAGTCAACCCAATATTTCATACCACAATGCAGTATCAAAATGCAAAACAAAGTAAATTAAGACCAAGAGAAAAAGACACGCCACACACAGCCTGCCTCAACACTGTACCATATCTTAAAGTGAACCAATTAAGCCAGCAACAAATAGTAATAAATTTGCTCCACCATCATATCACTTTTAAATGACAGGTTGATATATGCTGTGCTGCTTTGTCTCGACCATGGCACAAAGGGCAATGGCACCTTCACTATGCTGAATGTAATCGTACGCAGTCTGTCCATAGGGGCTTGGAAATTGATTACATATCAAAAGACAACAACTTTTCCTGCTACACAACAGAATGTAATAAAAGGAACATAAAAAGGTTGTAAATAGCATGGCTAACTACTGTAATATGACGAGCAAGCACGCTCCTCATAAATCTGGTCGAATCATCCTTCACTGTAAATGGGGGGGGGGGGGGGGGGGGGCTTGCTTGGCATTGTATGGCATTAACATTGTTGATTGATTGATTGATTGATTGAACATTTATTATCATTTGTCACATGAAGTTTACAAACACTGATTGGACCCATAGCCTGAAGCTAGTGTAGGGTCCAATGAGAAAAGTAATGGACAGAAGCGGGAAATATCAATTACACATAATACATATGTAGCTATACAGACACTGTAAATATACACATATAAAGAGTAGAGAAGTCTTTCTCTTCTTAAACAATCTGGTCACACCAAACAAAACTGCATGTGTGCATACAAAAAGTTATGACAGATAACTTCGTGGACACACCCAAAAACATCAGTTAAAATATGTAAAGGACATCAAACTATCAAGTTTTAGTTAGAAGGAAAAAAATGCTAGGTTTGCAAGATTCACCAGCGTATATTTATACAAATGTAAGTGCTTACCACCAAAGAGAAAAAGAAGCATTCACAGCTTGCTCAAGAATTGATTTTTTAGTTTTACCACAGCATTGTGTGATGTCTTCAATTCAGTGGGCAAACTATTCCACGTCTTTATCCCTGTGAATTGCATTAATCTCTCACCATAAACGTTATTTCTTGGCGCCAAGTTAAAGTTACCGAACATCAGGCTTCTAGTAGGGCGGGAAGAGGAATAAAATAACGAGACATCAAATGGGCTATTGTATTTTACGATACTGTTAACACAAACGGTCATCTTATAGTCACGCAAAAGATCGAAGGGTAGTATTTTTAGCGATCGGAATAACGGCCGGCTTGGCTCGTTGTACTTACTGTGAGTTATTATTTTTATGGCACGCTTTTGTAGCCTTCGAAGGGGATCCAGATAAGAATCATAAGTCCAGGCCCACGATTCCATGCAGTAGATTAAATGACTATTGATGAAAGCAAAGTAAAGCGCCCGCAAAATGCTTTTATCGAAGTAGCCTCTAGATTGTAAAAGCGCGTGGCAGCCGGAAGCCAGCTTTACACCGACGGCATTTATTTGACCTGCCCAGTGAAATTGATTATCTAGTATAATCCCGGGGTATTTAAACGTGTCCGTACGTTACAATATGCAGCTGCCCATTTTTATCTGAATATCTTCGTAACTAATTGATTTCCTGTGGGAATGAAATATAATGTACTTCGTTTTTTTAGCATTAACCGTTAACCTGTTAGCAAAAAACCACTGCGAAATTTTTTTCAATTCTGTGTTTACTTGTCTTTGTAATTCAAAACATTGTCAGCCGTACATATTAATGCTTTATCATCGACATACATAATAATTTCGGAAGAGCTTAATACATGAGGCAAGTCGTTGATGTAAAGGGAGAAGAACAGCGGCCCGAGAACCGATCCCTGTGGCACCCCTGTGTTCAGATATTGCAGTGTGAAAGTAATATCGGTCATCACGACAGCCTGCTGTCTGTTTTTGATGTAATTAGAAAATAATTCATAGGCTTGATTACGTATGCCGTAGGGCTTTAATTTATGCAAAAGAATTGAATGATCTACCATATCGAATGCTTTTTGTAAGTCAAGAAAAACAACTCCCACTAGCTTGTTGTTGTTTAGGGCCGTGTTAATCGATTGTGCTAATGTCAACACCGTGGATGACGTAGAATAATTAGACCGGAATCCATGTTGCTGAGGACAAAGAACCATGTATTTCTGTAAAAACTGATTTATGCGGTTTGATAGAATTTCTTCAAAAATGTTATTTACAACGCTAAGAACCGATATCGGTCTGTAGCTAGACGGATCGGAAATGTCACCGTTTTTGTAAACTGGAATTACTTTTGCAATTTTTAGTATGGATGGGTAAGTTTTGTTTTGTATAGAATGATTAAATAAATTGCATAAGATTGGGCCTAAAATGTCCACGTTTTCTTTTAACAATCGTGCGGTAATTTGGTCTAGCCCAGCAGATTTGTTATCTGAAAGATTTTTAATAATATGAAAAACTTCGGCAAGTTCAATATCACACATCACAAACGTATTAACAACTGGGTTTGACGCAATGTAACTGTCTGCAGAGTGGGGAATTTTGTCTGCCAGAACTTTGCCTATACCAAAAAAGAAGGTGTTGAACGCTTCGACGGTGCTGTTGTCAATGCTGTCAGGAGTAACACGTTGTGATTGACGGCCCCCAGTAACCTCATTTATGATACCCCATATTTTGCGTGTATCGCCAGATGCCTCCTGGATGCAGCGTGAGTAGTATTGTTTTTTACGGGCCCTGATTATCATAACGCATTTGTTGCGCAGTAGCTTGTACTGACCTAAATAGTAACGGTTTGTCTTATGGCATTTCCATTTATTGTACCAAAAATTCTTCGTTTTTAACAGTTGCAAAATGCCATCATTCATACAAGGGCAAATTGGTAATTGATATGAACGTGCAGGGAGTATGCGACAGCAGTTATTAACTGCGTTTTTAAGAATTCCTATCAGGTTCGAGAACTCAGTATTAACATCATTGTCGTATATATCATCAACATTGTGACACATGTACTTATATTGATAAGGCGTAAGTACACACACTCTAAACACCAACAATATTTTTATTTTACCTTCTTTACTTTTATTGAGAAAACTGGCCATATATCATAGTTTGTAGTGATGCCATATTCCACTCATCTGTAAAACAGGCCACACATGTTACAATGGAGAATATACATTTCCTTTGTGTTCTTATTTTTTTTAATGCTGTTTAGAAAGACAAGTACATACAGTGCGAAACAGTGTTAACAAGTGTGCGGTATTTGCTGCACTGTAGGGCACACCACGATAGAACTGTAGGGCCATCAGAAATTTTTCAACCCAATGTTGAAGAACGTTTAAACCAAAAATTTAGAGGAAGAGCTATGTCTATGCCAAGAAATACAGGCTGGGAAGGGTATTTTGAAAACATTGGTCGGCAACAGCAGTGTGCAATGGGACATTTTATTCTTAAATTGATGATTTTTAAATCGCTACACACACACTCTCACACTTTGACGATTTCACAACCACCACTCGCTTTTTGTGTCCAGCTTTTCAGGTGTTAGCGTTCCGGCCAAGCAACAAATCGACACAAAGTTATAACAGTATAAAACAAAAGACAATGCTAGATATAATCTATAATCGGAAAAAGTGGATATCAATATTATCTGCAGAGATAACTGGATGAGATGGCCTGTGAAGCATCACTTGAGACAAAAATGAACAGTTTAGCATGCGAGACATTACAGGGAAAAAAAGGGGGGGGGGGAAGATGGCAACAGACATGGCACACATCTGTGAGCAAGCTTATGTTCCAGATGGCAAGAATATAGTGACCTTAGAGTGGCGGAAAATTGAGCTGGTTCAGCAAGAGTTCCTCATCGTCTGAAGTAATGCTATTCAGTAATACATCCTAATTATCTTGAAAGAGTGCTGACACGAATTTTAAATATATTGGTGTAGTTGCTCTAAATAGCGAAATGGGTTGCGAGAACCCTAAAAAGAGTATTGTGGTGTCTCGGCCCGCATCACATATATTTTTAATGTCACTGCTTTAAAAAGGCACTTTCGGTTTAGATATCAAGGGGGTGACTTCTCCTTGACGTGTCATGGCAGTGTGACCTCACGGGGAGACAGTAATTCGCGACATACTAAGGGCAGCTTTGCCATCTGCTCGTGGTGCATGTAAAAAACGATGCCTAAATTATCTCCAGTGACCCCGACAGTGATTTCTGTGGTGCAGATGGCATGCAGGACGTAGAGTTCGCACACTCAGTGGAATTGTGTTGACTCAGCCGGATAATGTCCATTGCGGTGGGGCTGGCTTGCCGAGGTTCAGCGCCGAAAACTCTAAAATCAAAGAGAACATTGTGGACGTGTTGGCCAACTCCAATCAACACTGCATACCAAGGAAAGAAAAAATGCCCCTTTTGCGATGTTTCAATATCGTTTCAAAGGCTAATTCTCAGGAACTTCGGAAAAAAGAAAAAAATTGTTGGCAGATAAAGATGGAGCAAAAAGGACACATCCTTAGCGGCACGTTAATTATACAAATACGTAGGCAAATCTCGATATAAAGAAGTTGCACTAGCGGAGAAAGGCTTCGCTATACTGCAAATTACGCTGAAGCAAAGTTTAGACGTCTCAGCAGCAAAGAAAAACACCCAAACTTCTTCTGTGCTTCATGGCTTTTTTTTTTCTTTAGCTGCTGCCTATACAAAAATCATTGCAGGAAGGTTGTGCCTCATTGTGTGATTACGAACTTCGGCACCTGCAGCGCAGGTGGCGCCCATGGCAAAGAATCGGTTCTAGAATCGGCGCGATGCAGTCGTTTGCGGTAGAGTGCTTCGATGCTCGCTGGGGGCGCACGCATAGGGGCACCCTAGTTTGTGGCACGCAACGTAAGCGTAAATCTGGAATGCAATCGTTCACTGCAACAAGCTGCCTCATTAGCATAAAAGTCCTTGAAGTTTCTAGAAAAAAAAGTCTAATTTTAAAAAAGTTAGTGATCTAATTGC